AAAATTATTCACGAAAATAGATTCCTCATGCCAATAAACCCCGATTTGCCAAATTTTGTGCCAAAAGCTCGATTATTTCAGGAAGAATTTTAGTAATTTAGTAATCGTAATCTTTTTACCTATAGAATCTCCATTTTTGATATGTACCATTACTGTAATATATCTATAGCTATATGATTTAATCGCTGCTTCTCTAGTTATTTTCTTTCCGAATACCATACGAGGTCAAAATAAATCCGGACTTTTTTTTTACCTGTAGTGAAAATTAAATGCTAAAATTTTTATTTGGTTACTTTTGGTTACTTATTCTGTTTCTGAGAGATCATAATACAGTTAAATAGTTTGCTAATACTTTTAAGGATTATTTAGAATTATTTCCAGAAATTCCAGAGTTTCCGCAATTCTTAACTCGTTGGTATAATAATCAAAGGAGCTCACGACAAGTCAGAGGTAAATCAACAAAGACATTTATTAGGTTATGAAGCGGAACACGCAATGCGTATTTCCACGGGCGTGGTTACAGATCGGCCGATCTATCTAGTTAGTAGTAATTATCAAACAATGCGTCACAGTTTCTGTTTAGAACTTTCAAGGAAAATATCAAGTTTTGTGGCCCGCTTTCATGATGACGCCCCGCGTAGAATCTTATCAATTAATATTTGAAGCCAGATTTCGTGTTTACATTACGTAAGAACTGGTACAAGATCAACAATGTTGCACATATCAGTATGAGACAGAGTATTAAACCTGTAGCTTCTGAATAGAATAGGAGAAATGAACAAAGTAATAAATACATTGAAAGTTAATATCTTGGTCATTTTATGATTCTTATGCTAAGAAGAAGAAGTAAATGAGGAATTTGACAAACTGATTTGAAACGAACTGCAATGAGCTGTTTAAAACAGTTGCAAATAAAATCCGGTATGTTATTATTCAAACTAGAAGAAAAGAAGACGAGGTCAACCAAACAAAGGCGAATCGTTTTGAATTTCGGCAATCTTCGATTGAAGATTTACTTACATTTTAAAAATTTTGTAGATTTTTGGAGTGGATTGTCTTTATTTTGAGTTTCACCTTTCCCGTGTCTACTATAACTTACAATGTAGGTAACTATTCCACTAAATTAAGTATAAAGAACAGCACTGCTGGTCAAAGGTGTTTTTTTACTCTCTTACTATTTTGAACATTTTTAATTTCTAGATGATATGTAAGTATATAAAATTGTGATAGAAAAGTCTGACTATGTAAATAAATAAATTTTGTAAGTTTTTTTTTATTACACATATTTAAATATGTATGGCTTGCTGGAGGCACCGTGTATTAATCGCAGGGACGCATTTGGGTGATTCAGTTTCAAATGTGATTTTTTATGTCTTGTTTTGTTTGTTTTCATTTGTGCTTAATTAATAATCTAATGATGATTTTTTCATTAATTAGATGATCATGAACATACGTCATAATATTTTTTATATAATGTTATTTGTCATTCTTCAGTACCGTGTGATGCGCATTTCTAAAATTATTTATATCTATATCTATCTTAATTTTTTTGTCCAACTAATTACCTGATCAATTCTTACTTCTATGACCAAACTGAAGAAAATTGATTCTTTTTGGTTATTGTTTTAAGTTAACATTCCGGTTCAATTTGAATTTATATGGCTCGAGCGCCATCTACCTTAAGATTTATGAAACGCTTAGGGAATCATGATGAAAATACGTCATCTGAATACTGTTTACAAGCATAGAGTTAATGAAATAGTGCAAGGACTTTATATGATTTCAGAAGTCAAATTTATTATATGTCAGTACCGTGGATAAATGAGTCAGTGGCGTGGAAATTTGGAATTTGTATCCCGTTCTTGTCGCTTAGAATTTTGCAGTAGTAAAATCCTTTCAAACTTTTATTGTTACAGCAAAATAGATGAATAATATGCTTACAAAAATTTAAAAAGCCTAATTTGAATATCTTAAAAATTGGTTTGAAGACAATCTTTTAACAATATTCCCAATAACAATGTTATTGTCATGGATAATATACCATAGCCGTGTGCTACTCAGTCACATCAAATTTAAAATAAATGATATTTATTTTTAAAATTTAAAATAAATGATATTTATTTTAAATTCCGTAACAAAAAAGCGAAATTTTTGAAAGTCCCAAATTCATATGCAATTAAAAAACACTATGTATGCGATAATTTGACTGATCAGGCTGGACATACTGTTTTAAACTTCAGTGCTGCACATTATAAAAAATGAGGAATCTTATATTTATATACAAAACCACATAAATCCTATTATAGTTTTAGATTAGATTAGAATTAGATTTAGACATTTGGAATGAACGTGTATACATGTTCCTAGCTATGAATTTATTGTATATATTTAATGTCATTGTTTTTTCTTTATACCCATCTAAATAAACAAAAAATTTAATATTATTACCAAAACTTTTAAGAGTTCGTCCCTAATGTTCTGTCTTCAACCATGTGTGATGTAGTTTCGATACATATCTGTGAATTTCACTTGCTGATTTGGGACATGGAGTTTAATTAAAGCCAGTGTTTTATAGATCTAAGATATTGTGTACGTCGCAAGTGATGGCTACTGCTTGATTGACCTCTTTAATCGAATTCTAAAGAGAACTTTCTAGTTTTATTCTTAATCTTAATCAACATCTTAATAAAGATTAGAATCGTATACAAAATTCTAAGCTTGCTATTTACGAAGGGGAAGCAAACTGTGCCAAATTTCTAAAGTTCCCAACTTGGAGAACCTTATTTGAATACGAAACGGTAAGTGATCATAGTTTTTTAATAAGCAACAAGTAAAACTATTTGGCAAGGAGCGCGAAATAAAGCTATCCTTATCAACAATTATACGTGAGTTCCATATGGCATCGCTTTAAGCGACGTCCGAGTTTGGCAATCGGCCCAACCAATCGGTAGACCATGCCTCTTGTTGCGAGCGCATTCCGGTTACTGGATATTTCTCATTTTGCGTTCCAATTGAAAGTAAATCACTGATCCTATACGAACAGACGTCGGTATTGTGTTGCCCTAGACTGACCCAATTCCCTGAAGATGACATTTTAACACAAAGTGATTTAATCTAGCGCAATTGTTTCTCAATTGAATTGAGTTGAATTCCGACCAGCTAAGTTGTTTCTATTTTTATGCCATTAAAGATGTTCGATGTTATATTATGTTCGAACAATACCCGACAAGTCTAAATGTTTAAAAGCTGGCAGTTTGGCAGGCGCAGAAAGTCAAATGGTGATATCCAGTGACTACATATTTCTCATTATGTTACTAGCACCTGTGAAAACTGATGTTGAGGTGGTAGTAACATTTAATTTCATTAACTATACAGCGTAAAACTATTTCATATAATATTTTAGATATTACGGTATTACATTAGATATTAAAAATAAATAGGAATCCAAAAATAGTCCAGCATTCTGAAATGACAACGAAACAAAGCACACTGTTTTGCTTCACAAGAATGTCATCATGTTTCGCTAAACTACCTTACAATTACAATTACAATATCAAAGATGCACAGTATAATTCAGATTTAGTGAACATATTAAAATTAGCACAAGCGTTGTGAGGTCTCCATAAAATTGCTTTCTCTAATCTTACTCCCTCTATAAAGACAAATTACATTTAAAAGACCGCAATTTTAAATTGTTAATTGTTAGCTCTTCTAGCCAGTTAGCTAGCTGCATTCACCAACTTTGAGACCTTTCTATATATATATATATATATATATATATATATATATATATATATATATATATATATATATATATATATATATATATATATAATATTGTTATAATATTAATATAAATTATGAATAAAATTGGCTTAATGATGGCAGTGCAATCGGCTGCGGCTGCATCCCTAAAAATTCCCTAGCATTGAGCTAGAAAATTGTGGAGTTGAAAACCGTTTGATATTGAAAACCCACCCGCCTTTCCTATTTATGTCGGGCTTATGAGACGCTATGCGCATAACTTTGGCGGAGATGCCGGCGGAAATATATGGCAGAGCAATTTCTATTGAAGCATGAGGAATTTTTGCATCTATTCGTTTTTTTATGCGTCAAAAGATCGTGGATGTGGTATGTTTTGCATCTCGCAGCACGAACTCAATCGGATCTAATCGCGATTTTTCAACAAAAATTCTTATCTCCAACAATGCCGACGTTATAAAGATCGATGACATTATTTATTTACCTTCAATAAAAATTAATTTGGATCTAATAATTTAATAATTCACCCTGGGTGGCTCAAAAAAAAAGACTTTTTTTGGATCTGACACAAAAAACTAGTTGCTAGTGACCTCTAGAAAGTATTTACCAATTATGACCTCTTAATATTAATGGGAAGAATATCCTCATTATATTATCTTATCAAAAATAGATCATTAAGCCAATTTTATTCATAATTTATATTAATATTATAATAATAATATTATATATATATATATATATATATATATATATATATATATATATATATATATATATATATATATATATATATATATATATATATATATATATATATATATATATATATATATATATATATATATATATGTATAAAAATTTGTGCGTTTAGAAGAAATCCGACTACACCACTGGATCCTTCCTAAAAAACCGTTCTAGTTTTCACTTTCTCAATAACGCATAACCGTACTAGCAAGGGTGTCTATAAATGCAACATTTCTGTTTTTGGCACCTTTTATTTCATTAAAAAAACTCCTTGGGCCATGAAAACTGCAACGGCTAAGTTTTTTTAATAAGAAAGATATTCTGTTAAACCATAAAAAACGAGACACACTGTACATGAACTGACCGAAATTGTCACCGCTTATCTTCCATGGCCAAAACGTAGTTTATATTGGATCCAAGGTTTCAACAACCGACGCCAAGTTTGGACTTGGTCGCTGCCGTCGTAAGACTATCGGCGAATTTTTCAATTCCAGCTAACATATTCGTGACGGTAACCGGGCCACCAGCAGGGTCAGCATGCATGCAGGCGGCGACGAGTATTCCGAACTGGCCGAGCTGGGCGGTTACGGGGCAACCAAACGGTACGGCGGAGGCAGCCACGGGTGGCGGGCTACGACACTCGGCGCTTCTCCCGCTGAAGCCGAAGACGCCATCGGAGCGGACGGAAGCCCACGAAGCCATCCCGGACGACCACGGTCGGGTCTCTACTATTCGCCGCCGGGCACTTCCTACACCATTGTCGAAAGGCCTTCGTCTGTCATGCACCACCGCGAGCGGGATTACGGTAGTACGAGGGATAGAGACCATTACAGTACCTTAAATCCGAGGGGTGAGTGAATTCCGCAAGTCTGCCATCTTGCGGGAATTTTAAGCAAAGGAATTTAAGTTTGTAGTTAGAGGATTATTTAAACAAAAGTCATTGAACGATTTTATTCAGGACAGTCGAACGAATTTTACCGATCTTTGCCACTGATCAGCTGAATCAGTAGTCAGAAACCGCATCCCTAAAAAATACTAAAGCTCGCCCCTTATAAAAAATAAGAAGTCAAACATTAAATTGTATACATTTATATATTATATAAATTTAAGTGTTTAAATTCTCAAACCTTATATGAACTTTTGCGCGTCATGGTAAAGTTAGAGGTATCATTGAAAATTTAATATTATTATTCATTAAAAGGAATTTCATATTTTTATTATCCAACAGGAAATAATTTAATCTTTTTTCAAAGAAACTGCCTCGAGTTCCTGTAATACTTTTTACAAAACTTCTGGATTCCTCCTGCGTCGGCTTTTGCTGAGTAGAACTTGCTGACGTTTCACCAATCATTTTGTTGGCTTCTTCAGCAGGACGAATCCAGAAGCTTTGTAATAAGTACATAATTAATCATCGTAAATTTCAAAAAATATAGGATAATAGGTCAAGTATCACCTTTTCTATGCAAAGAGAAAAAAAAAACAAACACTCATGGACCTCAGCTTAAACAATCAAGAAACATTTGTTGGTGAATGTAAGTTTTTGTGGTTATGTTGTTGCAGAACCCCCTTTGTTTATCTACTGCAATTAAGTGTTATTAAAGTTTTGGTATTTAATTAAAAATTTACTGGTAGTTTGTTGGTCAATTTGGGAGCTTTAAAAGAAAAAGATCTCAGTAATAATACCGCTTTATGCGAGGTAAAAATATAGAAGTTTTTTAGACAAATATGACAGCTCCTTGTTTTTTAATGTTTAGTGAGTAAGATTGAGGAAGTGAAAGTATATCAAAAATTTAAGATTAAGGCATTTCTGTTTGCGTGACTGATCTGAAGCAAAAATTAATTATTCGCACAGAAATAATTTAAAGTTAGGATCGGATTAGGGCAAAGTTTCCTGAGCAATCTACAGGAGTATTGCACAGCTCATTGAAATACTTTGTGAATCGTAAGTGAGTATCTCTTCATAGCATCACATTTTTTGCTTCAGTTTTCACATCTATATTAACCTTATTCATTGTTAATTTTATTATTTTTGGCGATTAAATTCTGATTTAACAACTTCAAAGCACATTGAAAGACATGGTTTCTTTTATAACAGTCAATTAATAATTAATTAATAATTAATTAAGAACTTCTAATTTAATTGTCTATTTTACTGTTACACCAAAATCAATTTTTTGTATCAATAAAGTCAACATCTATATGTAAACTGTGAATACTCTCCAAAATAATCTAATTGATTGTCGACAGTTAAATGTTAAATGCTATCAATGCTTTTTAATTGTGAAGTAGAACAAAATTATTCGATTTGCAACTGTGTTATATGGACATAACATTCTAGTTCTAAGCGTAATTTGTAATATTTCTTATGTAGAGACCTATCACTATTACAAATATCATTAAATTTACCACCATTTTTAGAGCACCAAAAATATGTTTTCCCCTCTTTATGAGTGATTTTAAGATACTACCAAAAAGCCGACTTTTACCTACTCCAGCACTTGTTTATAATTCAAACTATTTTATTTTCTTTCGCAAGAATACTAGTACTAGTAGTAGTAGTCATTGAATTACAGTTATTAAACCTTCAAGCTATCGAGCACCAACATTCCTAGAATATATTAGCTTGCGAATCTTCCAGAGTTCCGTGAGCTCCGAATTTTACTTAATTAAGGAAATTTCTTCAAATAATTCTTTTTCAGCAAGTAATTTTTGCATACAGTAAAAGAGTTCTTCACAAGGGTTGAATTAATGAGAAATAAGTCACTTCTTAATCACTTCATCACTTATAAAACTATTATTCATATCCGTCGACTATATAGCTACTAGAGATATAAAGACTCTTACTAATGATCATAATGTAAGAACTTATGGAACACCTAAGAAAAAAACTTTCCCATGTGCGAGATTTAAAATTTCGTTTTTAACCAATGACACCTGCAATTGCGAATTCTGATTTTTGGCCAATAAGACCTTGGGGCATTGGGTATCCAACATGGCCGCTGACAGATTGTCAATGAGTTTGGAAGTCGTATTTTTACGCCGTTATTTTCTCAAAACACGGCCAGATCCTATTAAATCTTCAGTCAAAAAGGAGTGAAGCTGTGGTCAGCGTTGTTGAAAGAATACTATAATTTCTTGAGCAAGCAGAAATTATGGATCTTTGTGAGTAGGAGTCCTATACAAATCACTTTAAATCTCTAATATTAATTTTTACTTGTATAGGAGGCACATCCTATTCCTTACAGTTTTGACACCAAACGCAACAGGTCTACCAGTGGGCATATTTGACACAAAAACACCTCTCTCCAGTCAAGTGTCCAGAATTTTCGGTAGCAGACAGGGCCGGGTCCAGGTCATTGTTTAAAGGTTTTCTGGTCTGTTAAGAGTATAGCAGTTCCAATAGACGCAATGGTCTATTTTCCAGAACCGTTGCCAAAAATTACGTATTGCATAGAGTTCGTCATTTTTAAATTTTCCAAAATAAATAATAACTGCAAGTTCAGATTTTCAAGAAATTATATATTTTTACACGACAATTTGATAAAGACACGGTGTTGTCGAAACAATTGTCGTGTAAAAATATATATTTTCGTGAAAGTCTGAACTTTTAGTTCTTATTTATTTTGATAAATGGATTTTAATCAAGTAAAAGCCAGTTTAATTTTTTCAATTTTCCATATGATCAGCGTTTATAAGCTCATAATTTTGTTTCAGTGTATTGTTTAGTGTTTGCATTTTTTAAAAATGATAAGGCAATCGTAAGTACGCACTTGTTTATTTGAAGTTTTTTAATATAAGAAATTTTGACTCATTAGTTTACAGGTATCTAGAAACAAAATTTCGTTTTAGGATGTTTATATCATAGTTTTGCCGAAATAGGCTAGAACAAATTAACACTATCATTCAGTGTTTGCAATGGAATACCATTTGATTAATTATTTTATCTTTTCTAGATTGAGAGATTTGGCATTTCTTTTGAAGAAACTTTTCATCTAAGAAACGCTTATTATATTATATTTTAGCAGTATATGTGAGCTGTAGAGCTTTATCAAGGTTCGCCAGTCTTATTAAACTCTACAGTGGTGCCATCACATTAAAAACACAAACGACCTCAAACGAACATGTTAGTCGGTCAAACTCAATTATCAAGTAAAGTTTAACAGCTACAGCTACAGATTAGGATTTCGTAAACTGCCAACGTGAATCCTCGAACAAATTCTAATAAATTAAACTTTCAAAACAAGTGAACCGAAAATAGCACATTGTTATCTGCGGAGTCATCCCCCTTTGATATGGCCGTATGCATCGTATTACAGCCGAGTCCTGTACAGCAACGTTAACTATTATTCCCGTCACGCGAAGCTGGTAGAAACATTGACACGAAATATTTCCGTGATATGCTAGGCCACATAAAATTCGACTTCATAACGTGGGTTAATGGAATGTGGTGATGGAATGCAAGTCCAGAAGTGACAGGTTCGGAAATTTCAGCTATCAAATTTCCGTTGGTTTTCGATCGATTTTGTCGTGACGTAAAGTGTCCGAGGCAGAGCGATATTTTTACCTAGTTTTTGTTACTTGAGTTAGGCTTTTTAAATCATCAGTTAATTTTTGAATATATGACCTGAAAAGTATTCACCAGAAGAGCCGGATCACCACATTTGTTGTTTTTTATATTTGGTCATTTTTTAATGGGAACAAGAAGTATGAAAGTCGTATAGGTTATTTATACTCAATAATCCTCAAAGATGCCTTTTGGATTACCGAGATTTCAGTCCGCAGCCCAAAATCATCTACGCAGTCTATGGGAATTTTTCTTTCTACTCCCGTCTGTAAAAGACCTAATTGATTTAGTGCGGGAAGCGTCACTTTACCACGTCAGTTTCGTTTCCCACGAGCCAGTTCGGACATTTTCGGTATTTTACCGCACGGGTTTGGGAGCAATCGGATGATTTCGGAGATTTTTCCCAGGCCTTGAATTTGACGTTTGTCAATTCTGACGGCCGCGTCAGTGAGTGTATTCAAACAAACGTTTTGTTTAGCTGCGGCTTCAATAACAATGAAGACAAAAATTATAATTTTTGTAATACCAAAAGACTATATTAATTTGCGCACATGTTAACATTTTGCATTAAGAAAAGTTATGAATGGTGGTTGAATTTGATTTTTTTTTTAAGAAATAATTTTATCAATTTATGCGTCTAATTAAAAAGCGCCACGATAAAGTCACAAATGGTTTTGCCTAGCTTATAAAAATGCTTCACCTGTTTTCTTTAAGTTAGAAAATATTACAGGGTCAGTCACTTTATAGGCAGGCAGAAACATCTAATCTTAAATCTTTGAAATATCTTCATGTTCATCAGTTGCTAGTTTTTCTTCGACAAAGCGCAGCATCAACAGATTATCAGTTGATTATTTAAACGATTTATCCTTACTTAATTGAAAAAAAGGGCGAAAAATATGTATTTTTGATAACGGGAACGATTTTTTATTGTGATGATATGGCTAGTATGAGGACTGTTTTTTTTTTTCATTGCATAAAAAAGGTTAAGGTTAAAAGCGCATTTTGGGTGATACTTATTATCACCTGTTATTAATTTTTTAATTGCCATGATTAAATTGATAATAAATACACAATAATAATAATAATAATAATAATAAATTAAAAGTTTAAAAGTTGCAATAGAACATTCAAATTTTAGATGGATGTGTAAAAGAGAACAATGATAACAAAAAAATAAATCAAAATTATATTTTGTTAATGAAATTTTTGAATCATTAATTTTATCATTATTATCATTATTTGCATGAGTGGTTGTTGTTACCTATACACCCATTATCTTTAAAATA